TAGTTGTAGTGGTCACCTTACCCACAATTGCCGTGCAGTGTAGTTGTAATTGTAATTGTAGTGTAGCGGAGTTGTAGTTGTAGTGTGGTATAATTAATGTAGTATAGTTGCAGTTGCAGTAGTAGCCGTGGCGAAGTGTATTAGTGTAGTGTAGTTTATTGTAGTGTTGTTTATTGTAGTGTAGCATAGTGTAATATATTCTAGTGTAGTGTAATTCAGTTGTAGCTGTAGGTGTAGTTGTAGCGTAGCGTAATTAGTGTAGTGTAGCGCAAAACAATGTAGTATAGTTGCAGTTGTTGTTGTTGTATTGTAGTGTGGTGTAATTAGTGTAGCGTAGTGTTGTGTAATGTAGTGTAGTTGTAGTTGTAGCTGTTGTAGTAATTGCAGTGTAGTGTAGTGTAATTAGCGTAGTGTAGTGCAAGGTATCGCAGTTGTATTTGTAGTGTTTAGTTGTTTATCTGTCTACTGTCTATATCTGTCTGTCTATTTATCTATTCTCTATCTCTCTATCTATCTGCAAGCTTAAAAACGCAGCAATTCTGCGAGATTTCCTCAGTCCTCAATGTTTGAACTTGACAACGTCAAAAACGAAGGAATTCTGCAAGACTTCCTCAATAAGTTGACAACATCAAAAATCAAAACGAAGCAAATCTGCAAAACTTCCTTCGAAAATAGAAAGTTGACTGCAGAGCTGACGGCCTCGTGCCAATGCATTTTGCGATTTTTCCGCTCCGTCTGCCTAAAGTACTGCGCCTGCCACGAAAAAGTGAGGCCAGGTCATACGAAGTGTTGCACGTGTCACGAAAAATCATCTTATCAAACTTGAAGATTTGATGCACCAAAATGCAACCATCAGCGCCCAGACCTCCTAACATCTCTGAAAAACATGTCTCTTGTACTGCGCCTGCCACGCGACATGCATCCTCTTCAAATGTCCCACACCTGCCAACATTCTTGAAACTGCTACAAACCCTCATGTTTTTCTCCCTCGGGAAGGTGCAGAAATGTGCAGAATCCCCTTGCGCCTGCCACGCAAAACCACATCCTAACCTGAAAAGGTGCTCCGGGACTGCCACTTTTTTTGACCCACTCCTTCAAAAATTATTCCAAAAACACTGCTCCAACCCCCTTTCGGTCCATCAGTGGATTCGCTCTGCCATCCATGATTCACAACAACCAACCTCTCCTATGGGCTTCCTATCTTTGAAACTTCCGCCACCGCCTTGTGCCGTACTACTGGTATATTTGACTGAAAGAAAGTCTTAGAAATCCTCCGTAACTGAATGTCGCAGGCTACCTGCGGCTTCCGCATGCCTTGCATTTTTTTAAATTTTGACGTTCAAAAACGTCAAGAATTACCAGCAAGACTCCGCAAACAAGTGTCAAACTCCCGAGAAACCCGAAAAGTCATACCATTGAATTTTCCAGGACCCACCTGATCACATCATTGGCTGCAAACGTATGACACATGCAAGGTCACTGAGAAATGCCTTGAAACTTCTGAAATTCTGAACTTACTAGAAAGCAAGAACCACTAGAAATGTTTAAAAGGGCGCTCCAAGAATTTAATAATACGATTTCTATATTTCTACAATATTGTTTACCTGCGTTGCTGATTCAAACTCAAATGTATATTTGATTTTCCTGTAGGTCGGGCAATATCATGTAATATCCGCTGATTGTATCTGCAAAAGACTTGTTTGGGATGATTTGTGGTTTTGGGCCCTTGCCCTCACCACCTCGGAAGCGCAAAACACACGTGTTGAATCATTTTGATACATTATTTAAGAGTTCCGAGATTACAGTACATCCAACGCAAACAGGAATTCAGATTGCAAACATTTCAATCATCCCGGAAAAACAATGTTCCGGTCGCTGCTCCATTGGAGGGGACCTGCAAAACACGGGGGAGACATGCTCATGGCCACCTGTGTGACCTGTAGCTCCCCGGAAAGTGGTATACTCTGCGGAAATCTTGGGACTACCAAAGCTCATCACCTCTGGCTCTAAGACTGCTGTGCAAACACAGCGGGGCATTGGCCACTGTTACTCTGGGCATTTCTTGTCTAGCTAAAATACAGGGCATTTCAAGGTGCTCCAGCCTTTGCTGATCTGATGCCGATTTGCAAGGAATGCCAAAACAAAAGATCCAAGTAGCCAGTGAAGCAATGACTGGCGAGGAAATAAACATCTCCATGCGGCAGCTGTTGAGTGGCTCCAACTTTCCCCAGTCAGTCAGCAAGTCTGAAAAAAATCCAAAGCTGAAACGTTAAGAACAAGTTCTGCGGTATTCTGTGGCCAATGCACCCGCGTCACAAGATTTATACATCAAGGCGCATGCTTCTGAAAGCATTGCCCAGGGCCCGGCTATCCAAGCTTTGGTGGCTCCCCACTCAGCAACGCTTGCAGTGGCAAGCGCGGCAAGCAAAAGCAGGGAGTAGCATTCAGGAGGTTGCGGCGGAGTCGCAATGCAAAGCGCGTCAAGAGTGGTGTCTTCAAATGGAAAAGCTCACCATCCATCTCCATCTGTCGGATTTGAGCCACGTCCTAGTAGGCGGGAACAGCTAGCTAATGGTGATATGAGGGAAATGCTTTTTTGGTGCAACAGTAAAATCAATCAATGCAAATGGATTTCAACAACTTAGATGCTTAAAGGTTAGGGAACTGGCATCGGCATGTATCGGCAACCTTTCCAAAGCAATAGATCTGCAGCGTCCAAACCAGGAATGCCTCCACCATTCAGCAAGCATTCCACAGGATCAATTCTGCATTTGTTTTAGGTTATTTGCATGTTAATTACATGCTGCATGCTGCTTACTAGCAGGTTCTCGTGGTTTTTCCTCCCCATTTTCCCATTGAAACTTGGCCCATCTTGGCCTAGGCCTAGGCCAGATAGCCGAGGGTCTGCTGCCAGACATTTCGGATCTCCGTGGATCAGAACCGCCATGCCGGTGACCGTGAAAAGATCGGTGGTCTTGCAAAGGTGATCTCCAATGTGCACAGTCTCTTCCTGGCAGGTGATCTTCCACTGATGCTTCCAACAAAGGCAGGGTGACCGAAAATGGGGTCTGTTTTTCACAAATGCCCGGAAATTCTTTTTTAAATGATTAATGGTCACCGATCACCATGGCCCACACTCCACTGAGAGGCCCAGGCGGCCCAGGCACCAAATAGACCAGTGATGGGAGCTGTCCTTGGTGCTCGCGAGTTCGTTGGTTCAAGCTCAGTGGCTTTTACATTCAGGATCCACCGCGGGGGCAATATTGACCAGCAGTGAGGTGCAAATCATGCTGCGAAGTTTGCTATCACACTAAATATCATGACCGAGTTTATGGCTTTGTCTGAAAATTAGAAATATGCTCCGTATTAATCATTTTAATAGGGTAGATGATAATATATGGTCTCGTGTTCCGTGTTCTTACCCCCCCAATGGTATGGGTCCCCAGGTAGCACCTCCTTCCCTTCTAATTATTTGCAAGCTATTGGCAGCATTTCTGAAGTCTAGCCTCGTATTTGCATGTATTTGCTAGGTCTTTGCAGCGGTTCTGACTACCAGCCTCGCATTTACTAGGTACATGCTACCCTTTAGACGACTTACGTAGCACACATACTCCCTCAAAACACCTACGTGCTACCTTAGTCATATATACATGTGCTATGTATCTACGTCCTAAATAAATAAATATATATATATATATAACTATGTGTATCTTGATATTTATATTATAGAAACATATATATATATATACATATGCACATATATATATATATACACATATTCAAACATATTACTATATTCACAAATTTATATATATATATTTCACACATACACATATGCTCAAACAATATATATATATACACATAATTGTAAACACACACACACATATATATATGTACACAGTACCACGCCCCCACCACACCACCGTGGGGGGAGGGGGACAGTACTATGGCTGACCCATGACCATGGCCGGGGGGGAGGGGGGTTGGAACGCTGAACCATATATAAAGGTAGGGGTACCCTGTTTACAGCTTATAAGCCCTGGCTCCCAACGCCGGCACCGCAGTGGCGTCCTTGCCCAGCATCGAACTCTCTGAAAGCCAGGTGTGGCCTCCACAATGCCTTCATGGTATGAGATCAGGTTTACCTTGGCCCACAGTGGTCCCCTTTTCAGGGAAGCACGCAGCAACTCAGAAAGAAAAAAAAGTTGTTCTTTAAACAAATTAATATGGATCTAAACGTGTCTGCATATGTGTTCAGCTTCTACGTCGTATGTGTATACATATATATATATACACATTGATAGATGCATGCTGCATAATGGTTACGTGCACATATGTATACATGCATGTATGCATACATGCATACATTGCGTGCATACAGAACATTACATTACATTAAAGCCCAACCTTACCTTGCCTTGCCTTCCTTACCTTACATGGCATGAATCACATATAGTGGACACAACATAACATAACATAACAAAACATAACATGACATAACACAACACAACACAGCAGTACGTTACATTCAATCACAGCACGTTGCAATAGAATACAACATATATACATATGTAAATAAATATATGTGCAAAGATATAGATTGAGATATATATATATATACATATTATTTGACATATAGATGTGTGTAGTTTTGTATGTAAATGAATTTTCATGCAGTCACACACATCTGTAAATATAATTAAATAGTAACAAAGATATATTGAGAATCTTCAGCAGAATGGGTTCAATTTCCCAGCGGCTATCTCCCCCTCTGCCAGGAAAGGTGACGGTGGCAGCTCTGGCAATTTTTCGAAGGCGCCGCGATCCACGAAAGCGTCCACGCAAACGCCCACCTGGTTGTAGCCTGTCCTCGGGGAAGGGGCCCAGAATGACCAGGAAAAGGTCGTGAAAACTCATGGGAAAGCTAATGGTAAAGCTACAAAAATTATATTTTTACACGTGGGTTGGCAAAACGGTGCAAGCAAGAAACAAAATTGTAGAATATATTCACGCCGATTCTTCTTCTGCAGGGTGTTGGGAGGCAAAGTTAACAACTCAAAACGGCTGTGATACATGGGGGATCAAACAAACGGCTTTCGCAGGATATATGTATGTGTATGTATATACATATATATATATATATGTATGTATGTATGTAAGTATGTATGTATGTATGTATGTATGTATGTATGGCACATGACACGAAAATAGAAGATATTAAATAGTAAAGAAACATAGAAGATGCAAAATTGGGGGTGTAAAATCAACAAACCAGATAGAAGATACTCCTTGTCGCAAAAGGGCCCTCTAAGAGCCGGTCTCGAGGGTTATTTAGTGTCCTTTTTTAGGTTTTAACGCACAGACCTTCTGACATACCAGGGCACTGAAACACTGGTGTTTGCAGCGTTTTCACATGTCCAGGTCAAATAGAAGATACTAGAAAAATTCAAATCCGCACAGAGGTTCTCCCCCGGAGGAGGACCATCTGCGACGGGCCCTTTTTTGGACTTCTTTAAAATTTGCTTTTTTTTGGACGTGATGTTAGCCACAAACCAGGTTGAAAAAAAACCGATCAAATAGAAGATATTGGTGTACAAAATTGCCGACCACATAGAAGATATTCAATAATTAATTGGGAGGGGTATCAGCCATGGAAATTAATTCAATGAATATCTTCTATTTGATCGGTCTGGCAGAAACCATTTCTATTTGGTTGGTTTGGTTGGTCTATTTTACCGGAAACATAAAGATCCAAAAGTGGATCCGCAGCAAGGTCCTCCAAGCGGGCTCCAAAATCCTTTCCGACCCTGGTTTTTGGCTCTTTTTTGACATAGTATCTTCTTTGTGATTCTTCCCAAAACGCCTTTCAGAAAACCAGACATAGAAGATGGGGTACAAAAATGGTAGCTGAATATCTTCTATTTTCGTGGTATGCGATGTATGTATGTATGTATGTATGTGTGTATGTATGTATGTATGTATGTATGTATGTATGTATGTGTGTATGTATGTATGTGTGTATGTATGTATGTATGTATCTATGTATGTATGTATGTATGTATGTATGTATGTATGTATGTATGTATGTATGTATGTATGTACGTGTGTGCGCATATACATATCATATACATATCATATACATATATATATATACATATGTATTTATTTATTTAAATAAATAATAATATATATATATATATATATTATGCAGAACCCAATTTTTTGTTAGGTTTCCTATGGATTCCTGGTTTTGATGGGGGGATGCCCCAGTTTTCGGACCAGCTATGCTGCCTATACGGAGAAATTGGCACTTGCCTGCCGTGTTTCTCTAGTCAGCTAAAACGCAAGGGCTCGGGTGACAGGGTTTTTCCGTTGGAGTCTGATGGCAATGTTCAACCATCAAAATAGATCGGGGGTGACCTTGAGGGGTGGCTGAATCCCCATGATCAAGAAACTGTCCAACTGGCTTCAATGTGGATAAGGGTGAAAGAAGAACAAAAACCTTAAAGGGCTAGAGTATTGGATTTGTCTTGTTTCTCTGCGTATCTCTTCAGACTGATCCAGATCCCACAATGTCATGAGCACCACTTCAGTAAAGCAAAATGTATTGGAACAGGAAGGTAACGCCTTGAACTCTATGATCAAGAAGCAACAAATACTATAGGCCTTCAAGATCTTTGAAGTCAATTATTTGATGATCATTCCAGCCATTTTGTGTTGATTTCCAGAAGGTATCTCTTGGCAGCCCGTATACGATCCACCCTGGAACCATTATCCCCGTGCTAGAGTATTTGAATTATGACCACTGCCTGCTGGAGATAATACCCTCACCCACTGGGTGGTGATGTTGTCATCAGACGTTTCACCACTTTCAACCGAGGTTCAACAAATCACCATTCAATGGGTTTTAATGGTGGGATCCCAATGAACCGTGAATATGCCAATTTTTGAAGAGCAATCCCAATGATCTTTGCAAACTATAGCCCTAGCATACTAAATGAAACTAAATGTTTATCCATTTTTACCCAACAAATCCCGAGAAAAGAAACAAATCCGACTAAAGTGGTGAACTTCATGAATTTCTCTCTTTTCGGGCCTTGCTCTGATTCTTGTCCCTTAGCCTTACCATTTCGCCGCATCCAGGCCGTGTATTCGAAGCGACAGGGCTTGCACCAAGGGCATCCAGGCCCCCGACAACCCGTGGCAACGGCTGTTCACCTCGACGAGGCATGGCCCATCCTCCGTGAGCATCACTTCCGTGTGACTAGCGCCATTGGTGATGCGCAAGGCATCCAAGCAAGCCTCACGACCGACATTCGGACAAATCCCAGGAACATCCTAGTCACAAGGCGGTCCTGAGTGAAAAGCATAGCTATACATAGTAACTACCAAAGGCAACCCCCACACATATCATTAAAGAGCCCTGTGCTACTCCTAACAGGGCCACCCCTTAAAGATGCTAAAAAACCAAAAAACTCAAAAAACAAAATCAAGCCTTCCAAGCATCACTCCAACAATTCAAAAAGAAACTCGAAACCTAAAAAAAACACAATTCAAAAAACAACAACAAAGAACAAAAAAACAAAAAAAAATGAAAAGAAAACTCAAAAAAACAAAAGAAAACACAAAATCCACAAAAACAAGACACAAAACACCAAATATCCAAAAACAACAAAGCAATGGAACAATTTCAAAACAAGTTCAAAAAAAACAAAACACAAAGATCCCAACAAAACATAAATGAAACAAACTCAAAAAACAAAAAATCAAGAAAATTCAAAAAACATAAAGACACACGCAACATTAAAAAAAAACCAGAGAACAATTTGGAAATTATCAAAATCTCTCTAAGTACTTATTTCAAAAAAACAAAGGAGTATGAATTAAAAAACATTTGGAATGAAATGCATTATTTTGAAATGAGCTGAACTGATTTGGAACGAAATTAAATTATTTGGAATAAACATGAATATATAAAAAGGAATGTTCTAGGAGTGTCCCTTTAAGGAACGTCCCTTTCCATAGAAAAGAACACACACAATTATAACGTACGTATGTACAATATATGTACATGATTGTAAATGTATGTGTGTGTATGTGTGTGTGTGTTGTCAGTGGCAGTGTCAGTGTCAGTGTCATTACATGTGAACATATACTTGACATGCTCATCCTGGTTGAGTAATGCATGTCCATCCGCTGGAAGTTGTGGACCAATAACCCCTAGATACCCTAAATATTGTCAAGTCATATGAAAAATCAGGTTGCTAACCAATGACTGCCGCTTCTAACATGGCGTCACAGTGGCAAAGGCACCTTCAACAGCAAGATGACAAGATCATGATGTCACCATCATCGCTGTATCATCATGACCGTCACAATCCTCTTTGTCTTTTTGTATTTTGCTGGAAAGATTCCCAAGGCAATGAAGACATCTCTCAGAAACAAACATTGAAACATGTTCCTGACTCTGCTCTAGTGACCGCTGAATGGAAGACACACGGCACACGCAACAACTCTTTCCCCCTCAACGGCCTTGGAATATTTGATGAGTTGTTGTGCCTTGGTCGATCTTGGTCGCCCAGCCCATTGGACCCATGACTTGGGGCAGTGAAAGGATGTCAACAGCCGGCAACCAAACACTAAGCAAAATGAGAAAGGAGGATCTGATCAAACTCCATCTCCAAAGCCATCGTTGCCTAGTAGACTCTGACATCGCCCTGCGCTCATCGGCACGTTGGACAATCAACAGGCTACTTGTCAATGCCGTTTTTGAAAATCACGCAGGCCCTTATGAAAACATATCATATATAATATATATATATATAATATATATATATTATATATATTATATATATAATTAGTACGCAACCAGCCAATGACAACAAACCAGATCCAATCAGAACAAACAAATGTCTCTCTATGCCATTGGTTTGTTCTACATAAGTCATCCTTGAACAACACTTGTTCCCTGCTCAAGAAACTACCTGTGCAGTAATTAATGTTCGCCTGCCTCCCACTTGGGCGGACTTGGAAACGGTTGCCACAGTAATCTGACGACCCAGTGGAGACCCCCTGCGCAAAATCAATTCCAGGTTGCCACATCCAGATCTGCGAGAACGCACTTCTGGCCAAAGTTCACGAAATCCCCTGCATGAAAAAGCATAGAATAATTGCAATCAGCAATGAACATGTGGCTTGCAAAGAACGGCTTAATTAAAAGCCAATAAAGCTCACCTCCACAAGTTCTCTGAAATCAGCACAACGCATAGCCGCACATAACAGCACCAATCAGGTGGTGCAGCCGTTTTTTCGGCTCGTGCCTTCATTGGCGGCTCGCCGGTCATAGACCCAAACCATAGTGATCTTGTGGACCCCATCGCAGGTCACCGCGTCAACGATGTACTCAGTCCCCTTCCTGAACGCTGCCCTGCTGTTGGAAAATCTTCGAAAGTGAGCAGCATGTAACCCGAAAAAAAAATTAAAGCCATGTGAATTCCATTCTGTGAGTGCCATATCATGTGTATATCCTTTTCTATTATTATTTTATATCCCGGGTTATAAGCATGGCAGCTACTCCTTGCTGCACATTCGCCGAGCCACAGGAATTCTTGCAGCAGCACAGCAGCACCCTGTGCCCCGCATTTCCTCTGCGAGTTCATCAGCAACTCGAAATGTTGCTGTGCTTCTTCCTGCCACTACCACGCACTACCCGTGGGTCTGGCAAGGGAAATCATTGGTCGTTCATTGCTCGTACTATCATTTTATATCTCCTTGAAAAAGTGTTTTGCTTGTCTTTCCTACTGCCGTGTATGATTATTACTTACCTGCAAGAACCTACATCATTCATTCAACAATGTTCAGTTGGTGCACTGGGATGATGTCAGGGAAACATCGTGGAAAACATGGCCAGTTGCAATCTGGTTTCTGGCAAACGTTACGTTCAACAAACTCAAGTGTTTGACTGGCAAGAAGACCGGAACCACGTTTGGTTTCCATCATATTGGTACGATTCGGTACCCAACTAGAATTTACTGGACTTGGCACCCTTGCCCATGGCGATGTTCAACGTCCCACAGCCCAGGCAGTGTAAGGTCCTTGGTGTTGCACTTCTTCACCTTGGCTGTATGGGAGCTGGAACATCAAAAAACCGAACCTTCCAGTCTGAACTCTAAACCACTGAATCTCCCTGAAAGATTCCAGGAACTTGCCACTCAAAGAAGAAATAATATGCATCCAAAAATGTTGTAATTGAGTTGGTTTGACGAACTTCAGAGTTGGCTGTTCATGATTTTTGAAATTTGTCTGAATCTCACCCAAGACGCAATCCCCAAAAACCACCCCTATTCATTCAGCAAAGCACCCCATCAGACCCGGCTGACTCCACAGGCTTGACAATGAGAGGGTACTTTTCCTGAGGCCAAGGAAAAACAATCGAAGTACATGGGGATACAGTACCAAACAATAGAACTTAGTACTGGCAGCGGGGATCTTGAAACACTTGGCCTCACTTGATTGAAATTCGAACTGCAGCTTCGGACAGGTGGCAAACAATATTTCAATGCTGGTATATATCGCAAGTGCACAACTCGCAGTTGATGGATAATGTCAAGTTGGGATTATAAATCTACAAGGGATTAATCAACCACCGCCCAGGAAAAAGTAGTTTGGCAATACTAAAATGGATTGGTCCGCCCTGTTTATTCAATGGACAAATAAAATCACCCGATTAATCAACCACCGCACAGGAAATCCAAATTTTTTGGGTTTGTGAATACTAAATCTTCTGAAAGTAGTCATGCTTGCTGAAGTTTCTGCTTCTCATGGACGCTGAGAACCCTTTGCTGTCCCCAACGCTTCCCCTCATTCTGTTCATTGCTCTTTTGTTTCACAGCACACAGCTGCTCCCTGGCTCTGATCCCAGAGATTCCCCCATAAGGTCCTGTTGGCCCAACGCAAACTACAATCGTACGAGTTGAGTGATTAACTACTTTGTTGCATTGGCACCAGCCTTTTTGTGACTTTGCAATCACAAACTTGCGACTTTGCAGTCGCGGGCTTGTGACTTTGCTAGATTTGAACGTCCAAGCGTTCCCACATGATCGAATTCTTCTTGAAATCCTTGAAAAATCCTTTTGAAAAGCTCACAAATATTACCCCCATGATCCCATGTCCCCCCCAAATAATAAGCAGGGTCTGATTGGAAGGTGTTGTTCTTGATTCTGTTCTTGGCTTGTACTTGTTCCTTTGTTCTCTTGCTGCGCGTTTTTGTTTCGTCTGAATCAAGTCCACCCCTCCCCTTCCCCCCGCTTCTCCCCCCACCTCCCCCCCGGCCACGCCCCCCACTTACTACTACTACTACTGCTGCTGCTGCTGCTACTACTGCCGCTACTACTACTACTGCTACTACTACTACTAAGGCTACGCCTACTCCTACTCCTACTCCGACGCCTACTCCTACTCCTACTCCTCTACTCCTTCCTCCCTTCTTCCTCAAGTACTGAACTGGTAGTGCCGGTAGCTAATGACACTGCCTACACCATTACAGTCGTCTACAGGTACTCGTCATGGGACGCACGCGGTACTAAACTGATCGATCAATACTCATCTGTTATGCGGTCCATAGGTTGTTGTTCAAGCAGGCACTTGCTACTCAAGCTCCTTCTGATCTACGGCTCTGTCTTCGTCTCTTCTTCTTCCTCTTCTTCTTGCTCTCTTCTCTTCTGCTTCTCTCTCAGAGTTCCAGCTAGCGTGCACATCAACTTTCCTTGGGGCAATCTCTCTCCACTTCCACCCTGTCTCCTTCCATGCAGTGGTCTGCTGTCAAGCCAGAGGCTCATACATAGTACCTGGCGCTACTTTGCCGGGGGCGGTGCTAATTTGGTATACGATCAATAGGTTGTTACAGCCAGCACTTGCTACACAAGCCGCTTCCGTTTTATGGCTCGCGGGGCTTCCACCTAGAGTGCACATCAAGCTCGTTTGGGGCCACCTCTCTATGGCCGGCGGGCTTGCCGAAGGCAATTAAATAAATCACCCCCCTTGACTCCTTTAGACTTCTTCTACGTTTGAAAGGAAAATCAGTTGAGCGTAGATTGAACTCGTTTGAAATCTTACTAATCTTGATATGCCTTCTAGGTTTACAAGGAAAAACATTGAAATCCTTACAAATCTTCAGATTTCTCCTAGGTTTGAAACGACAATCAGTTCAAAGTGATTGATATCAATTGAAGTTCTTACTAATCTTGAGACTTCTTCTAGGTTTAAACGGACACTCACTTGAAAATGTACTGATATCAGTTGAATTCCGAATTCCCCACGAATCTTGCAAATTCCTTTTTGGCTTGAGAAGGAAAATAGATTAAACGTAGATTGACTGATATCAAGTGGAATCCTTACTAATCTTCAAATTTCTTCTAGGTTTAAAAGGAAACTCAATTGACAGTAAACTGATATCCACTGAAAGCCTTACCAATTTTGAATTTTCTATTGGGCCGCAGGGGAAAATCAATTGAAAGTAGGTTGATATCAATTGAAACCCTTACCAATTTTTAAGTGTCCTTTTGATCAACTGAAATCCTTACAAATCTTGAAATTTCTTCAGGATTTACAAGGAAAGTCAGCTGAACGTAGATTGATATCAGCTGAAATCCTGACAATTCTTCAGACTTCTTCTAAGTTTAAAAGGGGAATCAATTGAAAGCAAATTGATATCAGTTGATGTTTTCAAAATTTCAATTTTCTTCTAGGTTTAAAAAGAAAAAACCATTTAAAGCAGATTGATATCAATCGGAAGCTGATCTCTTATGACTTCAAATATGGAAGGGTTGGAGCTTAGCAGGACCGGACCTGCTTCTCCCTAGGTACCTACCTTCCGGGGGGTGGTTATTAATCCTAACTTGACATTACCAAGCATCGATGAAACCGCTGGCTTATCAGGCAAGTCGGGTGATTCAAACCATCTTATATACATTTGACACCCTTTTTCAGAGCCTGAAGGAGCCAGCAAAATCCATTCGAAGCCTTTTGGCAACTTAACAGAATGTAGAGATACTAGGCCAGGTTGTCGGCAAGACCGCTGCCCCAGAAACCAGCATTTTGAAGATCCACTTTCACAGTAAGGGAAGGGCTCTCTCTCTCTCTGTCTCTCTCTCTCTCTCCATATCGCCATCTCCGGGAAGGCTCTGCGTCTACCCTTTTTTGACCGCCCCATGAATTCTACTGGGGCCGTCCTGTTCGGCAAAGTGGGCCACATCGCTCCAGGTGGTGCCACAGGCGGATCTCACAGATCTCAAACCAGCCTTCTTCACAGCGTTTTGCCTCGGTATGAGCCACCCTTAGGGCAAGTCAGGCTTGATTGTTGACCATGGTTGGCCCGAGCTGGCCAATCCCAAGACTTGAAATTGAAACTTTTGTCAAATGTGATCCCTGGTAAGCAAGCATGGCAATCTTAAACCATGCTTGACTGATAATAGGTCGTCTACCAGATAAGAGTGCCTGGCACGCGCCGGGGGAAGTTTCGAAAATACGAGATGACTATCGGGAGAAGACGGCTTACAGGAATGTTGTTGAAATGCAGAAGCAACGAAATGTTGAAGTTGTGAGATGCATCAACAATGAGCAAATTGTTGTTGAGATGCCTATGACATGACATGAAAGAATCATAAAGAATCCACGGACAGCTGACTGAATGAATCAATGAAACAGTGAGTCGATGAATCAGTGAATCGACGAAGGGACGAAGCACTGAATCCATGAATCCGACGATGAATCAATGACGCAAGGAAGCCGTGAACCAATGATTCAATGAATGAGAATTAATGGGTGAAATAATAAGTCGATGAAATAGCTGAATCAGTCAATGACGCAGCGAGGACATGAATCAATAACTCAATGAATCACAGTGACCCAACGAACCAATAAATCAATGAACCAATAAAAACCAATTACTTTACTTCGTGTGATCCCCACCATGACATTTATACATGTTCTTACTGGCAAATCTTCTGGCATATCTTCTGGCATATATTCTGACATATCTTCTGGCATTCTATCTGGCATATCTTCTGGCATTCTATTTGGCATACCTTATGGCATTCTATCTGGCATATCTTCTGGCATTCTATCTGGTATATCTTCTGGCATTCTATCTGGCATATCTTCTGGCATTCTATCTGGCATATCTCATGGCATTTTATCTGGCATATCTTCTGACATTCTATCTGACATATCTTCTGACATTCTTTCTGGCATATCTTCTGACATTCTTTCTGACATTCTTTCTGGCATTCTATCTGGCATATCTTCTGACATTCTATCGGACATCTTTTCTCACATTCTTCCCGTTGAGGTCCGGCAGTGCCCACTGCGATCTGGAAGTCGCGGTTGAGGTCCGGCAGTGCCCACTGCGATCTGGAAGTCGCGGTTGAAGTCCGGCAGTGCCCACTGCAACCTGGAAGTCGCGGTTGAAGTCCGGCAGTGCCCACTGGGATCTGGAGCTCGCGGTGGAGGTCCGGCAGTGCCCACTGGGATCTGGAGCTCGCGGTGGAGGTCCGGCTGTGCCCACTGGGATCTGGACTGCGAGGAGGAGGCGGCGGGTGAGGAGGCGGCGGGTGAGGAGGCGGAGGAGGCGGAGGTGGAGGCGGAGGAGGCGGAGGCGGAGGAGGAGGGAGGAGAACAGCTCTGATAAAATCTAACAACCCTCACCTGGCAGGTGGGGAATGAATCAGTGGATACATGAACGAACCAATGAATAACAATGACTCAATGAATGAACAAATGAATGAGTTGAACGATGGGTGGATAATTGGATGGATGGATGGACGGGTGGATGGATGGATGAGTGAGTGAGCTGTTTGTTTTTGTTGAGCTACTTCTTTACTGAGCGACGTCTTCGCTGAGGCGCCTCTTCTCTCAGCTACTTCCTGTCTGAACAGTCTCTTATCTGTGTTACTTCTGCTCTGAGCTTCCTCCCAGCTAACTCTTCTGCAGCTTCTGCAACCAAACTCTTCTCTTTGCGCAGCTGTTACAATGCGATACAGTTTAGCAACCTCCAGGTGCAATCCCGCAAAGAACAAGAGTAGCACCATGGTCACAAACTACCTTTCACACTGTTGTTACAATGCCTTTAGCAACCTCAGCTGCAATCCCGCTTGCCAGGAGCGTCGCAGCATCATTCATGCTTTTCTGCGCGCATCTGTGCCAATGCGTTTTTGTCACAACTGGTTGCAAGCCCGAAAAGCAGGAGCCCCGCATCAAATCGACCAACGCACGCGCAAAGCTGATAATGGGGACGGTTTCGCGCTACTCCGATCCACCGATCTCATCTTCCAAAAGCGCGCCGCGCATGCCAACATTTTCACATTTTGAAGTGCAAATCGAGCTCTCGCTACAGTCCTGTGCACTTTTTGTCGAGGCCCGCAACTGCGGAAACAAAGGCCCTACTTCGGCGACCCCAGAAGCCGCATTACCCGGAAAAAACAAGGTTTCGCACCCGAGAGTGTTCTCACCCGTGAATTCGCACGCTTCCGAACTGTTACACTTCCAAACTACTTGGTGATGACATGATGATGTGGTCAACATGATGGTGGACATGCTGACTACGACAGCAGCCCGTAGCCCGGAAGTCTTCAAACTAACATCCCTTTGACAACCAGTGGATTTTCCTCTCTTGACGACAAAAGGGTTCGTGCATTTACATTGAATCACTCTCACATGCCAATGAAATTCCTGAGGCTCTGGCACCTCTAAAATATCAAGAATCCCATGACTTATTATGATTTTCACTGTTAATATGGCCATGCATTGGGGACAATTATGAACACCCACATGCACTCACATGCACTTGCCGTGCCGCTGAACGCGCTTGTCCCGTCGATTGTCCATGCCATCGGCAGTGCTGTTGCCTCGGAGTCCCATAAACTCTGCTAGTGCATCCGCGACCTGCCAAAGAGGTTAGCGCCCTATGACATGCAAACGGAAATCATCATGGCATCTCATTGCCAATCTTGGAAACATGGAACCAAGTTCAGCTGGCGGGTGTGTACACCCCACTTGTGGCAAAAGGTTGAACACACCAGGGTACCCATAGAAGGTTTCTCCAGCAAGTAGGAAGGTCATTCGGGATCACCAGCCCGAGATGGGAATGAAATTCCTGAAGCCTGAAACCATTGAAACAATGACGATGCAAGGAATGTCATATTTGGGAGATTCAAGCCAATAATCTGAAAAATAGCTTTGGTAGTAGGCCTTGAGGTGTTAGGAGATCAGGAGGTATGTACCCTGAGCATCAAATTCACCAAAACAAGGAATGTACCAAGAGCTGGGGGTCCGAATTGAGGGTCTAAGCATGTCTGTTTTGACAGTTGCAAGGCACCACCACGTCCGAAACAAATACGAAAAGTCAAATGAAATCATCATCCCACACTTTACACCCGTGAGCCCATCAACCAGTAACGCCTGCTGTTTGTTTGGTAATTACATAATTAGTCCCATCCGATTTATTTATTATTTAGATAAACCATCACTTTTCTTGCTTCGTCGATCCCCGGCCAATTGACCGCTCGCCTTGACGCCTGTTTCACCACCGCACATCACAGCCACCAGCTCCTTGTCATCTGCCGCCTTCGCAGGCGATGGGCCAAAGCCATGGTGAATGGATGGCTTTGCCCATCCCCTCAATATTGAACACACCCCGGAAACCCATGGTTGGGTGGGGGGATGAAACCATAGATTTGGGACATTTTGGGACTATAGAATGGGAGCATTTAACATGAACGCGCGACGGAGTGTGAAAATATTCAAATTCCAGTCAGTTGGGATCATCCTATTTCTAGGGGCGGAAACTGCGGACACTGTTCGAAACCACCGGCCGGCAACCCAGATTTCGTTGGGTTTATGGTTGTCATAAATTCTACTTGTCCCGGCCCGATAGAACCAAGTGCATTGGATGCTTCCCTTACACTGGGCCGCAGGTTCCCGCTGTGCTCCTCTTTGATGATTTGAGCCTTATATGCTGCAAGGGGGAAGCTGGGACCCAATTCCCCGTATAGTTCTGAATCATCAACATAATAAATCGTCTTGAGCGCAACTTTCCAGCGTCAGCTTGCATCATCGAAAGAGATCAAAAAGGATCAGATTGTACCGTACCTCTCAGAGTGGCTTGCCTAGACGTTTGGTTTGTATTGGCAGGGCTTTAAGTTTGAAGGGTATTCTTTTAATTTGGAAGTTCAAGTTCCAGCTCAGAAACTGTCTCAGGTAAACTGTTCTGCTGATCCAATTCTGCAAAGAATCTCTCCTTATGCCAGGGGGAGGCGCAGAGGATTGATACCGGGGCAGGCTTTGTTCAGGAACCACAGGCCTTGCATATTAATTGATTTTCTGAGGGATACGCGTTTTCACCCACACTACTACGAATGGGATGCAAACCAATCTGACTGATGTCTTAGAGCGACAACGTCTTCTCTGACAAACAATGTCACCCCCAGTGTGGCGGAAAAGCTATGCTTCTAGAAGTTGTGCAACTTATCTGCTGTAATGTCTAAAGAAGAATGTTCTAAAAAATCAATCAGCAGTGGCGGTGGTGCCCTGAGGGCCGTTCAAGTTGAACGATAGTATGTTTTATCAAGGGATACGTAGGCTTGGGGAAGCCATCTTTTCACAACAGAACTATATGTAAATGTAAAGCAGTGAGGGCACGCCAAATTGTGAGCCACTTTTTACATCTATTTTTTCCCCCCTCGTATGTTGGAAATCTGCAAAAAAACTACTAACTATGCTTGAATGTTCAGCTTCATGCTGTCGTGCGGTTTCTTTTGACACCTCCAGACTCCACACCCACGAAACGTTCCGAGGCAGCAGAAGGAACCGAGAATCTGGAACGCCTTCAGCGGCTGCTGGAAAATGTCCTCGATTCCTTATGACACCATGTCTGGGCAAAGTCAGCCCCAGGTGGGATGGAAAGTAAGCAGCTTCTGGGCGAGTATGCTGAAATAATGATAAGAAGTCTACTACCTTTCTTGGGCGCATTCAAGAGGATCCCCGCAACATGTAACGCTAGCTCGTGACTGGGGGTCATTGCGTTTCTCTGCTTGCCTGGCTCTCTGCTTTGGCTTGTCGTCCTGGGACCCGCACTGCTGCGCCCTTGCTTCCTTTCTCCTTTTTGTTTTGCTCGTTGGTTGTTTGTTTGTTTGGGCTCTTGCTGACCACCTGTTCCTGATAGGGGTCCGTTACTTACAAAACCTTATAAACATTCTCAAAAATCGACCGTCAAGAGTCCGTTTCGTTTCTTGATCAATCGTCAAAAGTCTGTTGCATCTGTTTGAAAAGCGAACGTCGGACAAAGGAGGGCGATCACTTTCTGCGGGGTACTTCAAAGTTGTAAGTTGCAGGAACTCATGTAGCCATAGCTGGTAACCGATATAGTCATTTTGATGCAGTCTTATTCATGCCAGGTACTGTCGACCTCAAAGCTGTGATGATTACCAATCTGATCCAATCAGACTTTGGAATGAGCACTTTTGTATCACCTTGCACGTCCATGTTCACAGGCTTCAACAGTTTCATAAGGTGGATCACATGTACACGTAGCAAACCATATAGACACATTGAAACATGTATTATTATACAAGAAATATCAAGAAATGAGTCGCACACACACACACACACACACCGCACACACATACACAAAACACGATCAAAACGGCGAAGAATCGTTTAGATAAAAACCTGACCATTTTGCTCTCCTCTGGTAGCCAAACTTGGCAAAAATGTAGCAAGATGCTCTCCGACATAGTGATTTTCTGCAAAGTACGAAACCAAAGAAGAACTATGAACAACCCCGGGTACCCTGCACAAAAGTTAGCCTTCAAACGGATATGTTATGCCTCCATTTATGGCTTATGGATGCTTATGGCTAGGTCGCCCATGAGCCTGCCATTCACCTGAGCAGTGTTCGAAACCCTGTCGTTTCATCATGCTGGTTGGCCAACAGAATGTCAATGTTTAGTCTCCTACATATACAATGTATCCCCAACATTTCCCTAAAGGGTTATGATAACACCTAGTTAGCATATTAGAACTATCAACCAACAAGGGTTTAGCAGCTTAGCAGCCACTCACCGGGATTCACCTGGCCCAGATTCTCTCCAACCTCTTTGGTCCACAGAGCAATGACTTGAAATTCTCGCCGCAAGAGCTCCGAAACCACCAT